ACAGCTCTGAATGGTGCAGTTTTGTGCATTGTGTGGCACGGACATAAGAAATAGTGTGTTTCCCAGTCCCAACTGATACATCTACAACACAGTTCCTGCAGCTCAGGCTTAGGGAGTATCATGGACTCAACCCTAGACCCTGGTTATAGGTAACTAAGGATTGCCAAGAGCAGGAGAAATAGTCTTCTCCAAGGAGGAGCATACCAATTGGTTATCCAATATCAGGTAGTCATCTCTGAAGTCCTGTGTGTGTGTGTGTGTATGTATGTATGTATGTATATGTATATTATGGGCACGTGTAATATTATATGGACTGAGGAAGCTGTGTTGTATTTATATATTTAGGAACACATGGATGTGTGTGTGTATGTGTGTGTATATGTGCGCACTCATGCAACAACAATGGAAGAAAAAGACCATCAATGTGAGAGCGTGCAGGCAGAGGCGCATGGGAGGGGCGTGGGTGAGGAAAGGGAAGGAGGCAAATGATGGCACTGCAGAGTCACTGGGTAGTTTTTGTTTGTTCTAAGGTGTGTGCTCTGGGGAAAACCCAGACAGAGATACACACACAAGGCCTTACCTCCAGTAAAGGGAATGCACAGAGAGCGCAGCAGGGACAGGAGGACTGTACACACCTCAGGAGGCCCTGGCTGAGGGATCCCTCTGCTCGGCAAGGGAGAGCAGATCTGAGACCAAGAGGTGAGGAGCTAGAGGGGATAAAATGTTGAAGTATTAAAGCCCTGAAGGAACCTGGAGAACACTGACTCTGACCAATGAGGAAGCTACAGAAAGAATCTAGAAGGCATCTGGCAGGTAAACTGAGGCAGAAAGGCTCCCATCCCAACCAGGCTTCCAGACCTTCCTGAGTCCTAGGGAAAGGGCTAGGGGTCTTGGCATTGAGGACTTGTGGATTATAGAGACTCCTTTAGCTACACCTGTTCGGATTTCTACCTACAAGAAGATCCCTGAAAATCCCCTGGAGATCCAGGTGCCTGAGGGTCAGCTATGGATCCGAGCCACACCTCTGGTGTGCTCAGCGCTGGCTCACTTGACTGCAGATCATTGAGGGGACTGTGAAGAGAGTGCAGATAGGGCCTATGGAATAGAATGGACCTCTCCTTACTCAGCTACAAACATCCCAGGACACCCTGACGGACACCAGCTGGAAGGATCTCTGCCTCTTTGTGACATGCCTGTCCCCATTAGCTGCCTGAGCTGGCACTGAATGCCGCTATTCAGAAATTACCTCCTTAAGCTTGCCTTTCTTGTTTGGTGTCAGTGCTGTGTAGACTTGGGCCAGCATAGAACGTATGAGGGGATTGAGAGCTGTCTGCAGCTTCTGGGAGAGTAGTGGATGCCTCCAACCTTCAGCAGCTGTCTGTCATCCTCACCTGGGGTGTGCTGTTGAGGATAACCAAGCTCGCAATGTGCAAGGGAGGCTTGCTCCCTTTGGATCACATATAGTACCTAAATTTGGATTTAGGTTAATGTTCCTTTAGACTCTATGAGTCAAGAGGTTCCTTCTAGAATAACTGACTAAATGACAGTCTGGAATAACCAGCCAGTCCATCAGTCCTGAGCCCACATGGTGAATGCTAGTAAAAACAGCAGCGAGCGTTTGTCGCTGTCTCAGCACAAAGTGCTTGCCAGGTGACTTCAGCCACAGTAGGAGCCCACATGCAGGAATTTGTGGGGAACCTGCCAAATTCACGCAAAGGGAAAGCAGTGAATCCAGGACCCACTCCGAGGTCCAAAGTCTGTGCTCTTAGCTGCGAGGTCATATCTACTTTGCTATCCTCAGGGACAGCTTTTGCTGGAGAAAAACTTATCCTGGCAGGTCAAAGAGTGGAAAGGCAGATGATTCAGGAGACTAATGTGTAAGGGTTTTTGCAGCAGAAGGGAGAAATTGAGTTTAACTTGGCAGTGAGAATGGGAATGTACAGACAAGAAGGCGGATGGTTTATGTAGGGTGAGGATTGGTGGGCAGAAAATTGCTCAGAAGCTAAGTGCTGAGTTTCAAATGTGCTCCCAAGAAAGAGATCCATGTTCAGGGAAAAGTCAATATGCAAGTTCATATGGAGGGAAGGCCCCTGGGAGATACTTAAGAGTTGATAAATTAATTAGAGTGAGGCCCCTAACTGGAAAACTTGTCTCATCTTGTTCCACAATGTTCTTTTTCAATGATATTTTTGACACGTTTCATGCATGTTTACAGGCTGGCAGACACGTGTGAGGACTGGGAAGGAGGGCATGTCTGTTCCTTCCTCCCACACAGTGTGGCCTGATGGATCTCTGTTTTACTTTTGGTCTTAGTTTTAATGGCATTTTTGTTTTGTTTTGTTTTTTGTTTTGATGGCCATTACTCATACTTCTAGGAAAATAGTTTAGTCAGGGTCAAGTTTAGGTTGAGGACAGCTGCCAGGTCTCCTGGCAGGTAGGGCTGGGGAAGGGCCTGTCCAGCCGGTCTCTTCCTAGGGCGGAGAGGGATGGTGAGTGTTGACTACTCCGACCGCCCTCCTAATTACCAGAGAGAACCACACTGAGAGAACCACATGGAGTCAGGAGAATTGTGGAAGCAGAGTCTCACTTTGTTGTAACAGGCATGCGCTTATATAGGGCTGAGGAAGTGGGTGGGGACCTCAGAATCGGGTGAGGTGTAAGAGCCAATATCATTCACCACCTTAGCAGTAGCTAGGCAGAGGTAGTTTTGCCGAGACAGGTCCGCAGGCTCAGGAAGTTCCACTAGGCCTTGTGTCCGGGCCTTTTTAGGCCCAACAGACAGTATTCCCTCCTCATCCACAGGGATGAGTGTCACCACAGTGGATGTCTGAATCCCCATATAAGACTGAGCCCTGTGTGCACTGCTTTTGAAAAACAGCCATGCATACCTATGATAAAGCTTCATTTATGAAGTAGGCACAGTATAGATTTATAATGTCCTGCAGATCATAGCAACCTTAGCACTGTTCTCAACATTTTATTAAGCCAAGAACTTTCACCTTATGATTTTAAAGGAATCACCTTATGCATTGGAGTAATAAAGGAGGTTTAATAATGGTCACTTGGATGTAAGCACTACAATTACCATGATGGTCCATCTGATAACTCGAGATTCTCTTAAGTGACTAATGGGCAGGTAACATATACACTGTTGGCACTGGGAAAGAACGGTCCCCTTCCTGGGGTAAAAAGAGAGCCAGGACAGAAAAGTAGGGCAGCACGGATGATTTAAGATCAGAATTGATGACTTGGTGATTCCTAGAACTTCCCATCAGAATTTTTAAGACCATGGTTGGTTATAGGTAGCTGAAAACCCGCAAAACAAAACCATGGGTAAGAGGGGACTACTCTAATGGTATTTTTTAAAAAAGTGACATAATCGTCTTTTTCTGTCTCACTTGGAATTTCCAAAAAAAGTAAAATGTTATGCAGCTTTTGCCTGCTCTCAGTGCCCCCAGCCCAGGCAACTGCTTCGTCAAGAGGACTCTGCCATGTTTTCCCTCCATTGCACAAGTCTTGTCTTGCGGAAAGTGGCTTCTGGAGATCAGCTATCAAGTCTGAGTTCTCTCTAGCAGGAGGCAGAAGGAATATACCAGGATGTGCCAGGTGTCACTTAATACAAGTCCCTGGAGCTGCCCAGTGACTTTGCTGACACCCCCTCAGTCAGTCAGAACTTGTGCACAAAACCTCACTTTGTTCATACCTGGCGAGCAATCTAGTTTTTATCCTGGAAGGCAATGCATGTGACTCAGCCAGGTTTCTGCTGAAGTTGGTAGGAACTCTGAGTACAGCCATCACCACAAGAGATGGGCTTTTTGCCCCTCATTGCGCAGACTGCTTTTTAACCTCCAAGAGAAGGGGACAGGGTCCTTCCTGTTACCCCTGGGGGAGCCTGAGCTTCTCCCAAAACTGTGTTGAGGATATGGCTACAATATAAAACTAACTGGAGATTTTGTAGAGCGGAGGCTATAGACACCATTTAAAGGAGATGGTTAGCTTTGAAAGGCTGATAGATTTTAGGCCGAATGGAATGGCAAAGGAAAAGTAAAGCCCATTACTGAAAATAAATGCACTCATGTTTGAGCAGAGTGTGAACAGAGGAAATGTAAAACTTCAAAGAGTCTGGGGCATGAGCTGTTGCATTATGTGAGGGCTCTTCTGGATCTTTGGCTAGAGGCAAGGAAAGGGCACTCCAGCTTAGAGGCTCCCTACAGTCACCAGCAGGCCATAGAACTTCCTGAGCCTATGATAGCATCTGAAAATCTTGGCAAGTGCTTCCTTGGGTCCTTTTAAGTTCTGGTTGTCCACTAGATTTTCAGGTCAACAGCAGTAAGGGGGCCCATAGTACCAAGTTCCTAGGACAGAAGGTGACATTCAGGTAAAGAAGTGACATGCCGAGCCTCAGCAGGAACAGTCATTGGCCATGTATCTACGCTTTGGGATTTGCTGCTTGTGCAGTCCTTATTTTCCATCCTTATCCTTGTGAACTTTACAAAATGTCACCAAAATACCTTCTGGGGAATCAATCCAGTTGGAGCAAGTAATTTGTAAATTACCAAGGACTGAACACTCCAGAGCGGTGTTCCTCACTAGTTCAGGGGAGTCCCTGGCGCTCAGTCTGTCCAACACTGTCAGTGAATTCTTCTAGAACTGAGAGATGCTTCAGGGCGCATCTTCAGATCTATGCATCTTCAGAAGAGGAGGTCCATTTATCGATTTTGGAAATAGATGGGAGCTTGGAGAGAGACGACTGAGTAAAATTAAGGTGCTAGACTGGTCAGAAGTGAGTGTGAGACAGAATTAGCCCTCGATGTTGTCTAAATTCAGGACAAATGCTGACATCATGAACACCGTTCTCAGCATTTTAGCTTCTCAGTTGCTAAAAAGCTGTGATGTCTAGTGACGTATGACGTAGTGTGTTGGTTTGGCCCTAGGAGGCTGCTCTGCTTTGATCTACCAACCTCTGAGTGTCAGTTTGCTTTCAAGTTACGTGTTTGAGAGTGCTCACTTTGGCAGGACACATGTTAAAGTTGGAATAATACAGAGAGGATTAGCATGATACTGGGCAAGGATGACATGCAGACTCAAAGTATGTCACATTTAAAAATATGAATTACGCATTTGAGTGCATAGATCCACCACCTTAGGTATATGTACTTCATAACTTAGGCTTGAAGTCTCTTAGCACAACACTGTGTGAAGTACTATATCATTTAAGTATATCTATTTTAAAGTATGGCATTCATACATCACGAAGTGAGCAACATTTTCCAAAAGAAAGCAGATAATTATTTTAAAATTCCTGACTTTTCAATTCCTCCATGATCTGGAAAACCATTTTTAACAAAGATACCATGTAAAATACCCCATAAAAGATAAGTAACAGCAAGAGTAGCATACACACTTTTAAAAGAAAAATGATCATTTTTTAAATTAAAATTAGATCTTGCTTTGGGTTTGGGTTTTAACTGGAAGTTTATTGGGTGGTATTAAATGAGTCTCCTGGCATTTTGGAAACAAGGCGCTGTGAAGGGAGCAGTGATTGAGACATGCATGCGCATGCACATGCACAGCAGGGAGCTGAGGTATAAAGTCCTCCAGAGCCACCACCAGGCTGTGCTTGCTCTCTATGCTCCCTGGCCACAGTGACTCCTCCGCCATGGGGAGGAGGGGAGGGAGGGAGGGAAGCTGGCTTTGGATCCCAGGGACACACAGGCTCACCTTCATATGCATGATTATTGTGAGCTGGGAAACCTAGATGATGGTCCAGAGAGAGCTTTCCTTGCAAAGCAGTGTCTCAAAACGGATTGTCCCATCACTGACTCTGTGTGTGTGTGTGTGTGTGTGTGTGTGTGTGTGTGTGTGTGTGTGTGTTCTTTTTTGTAAGACTTTTTGTTGAGTGCCAGGTATTATGCAAACAAACCTCCCTCTCTATTGCTGGAGCAGTGCTCTCTCTCTCTCTCTCTCTCTCTCTCTCTCTCTCTCTCTCTCTCTCTCTCTCTCTCTCTCCCCCTCTCTCTCTCTCCTCTCCAACTCCCCCCTGTGACTCAAAGGAGGATATCTGATAGTTAGAGTGGGGTTTCAACCTGCCTGTGGCCAGTCCACCTTTGGTAGGTGCTTAGATCTTGCCAAGAAAAAGAAAAGAAAAGAAAGAGGGCAGGCGGGGCGGCTTGGTGAAGTCATCCCTGGTGACACCTTCTCACACGACTTCAGGGAAAATGCTGGGCCCCTGGGCAGCACTCCCGCCCAGCTGCCTGTCACAGTGCAGGAGTGAGAGGTGACCTCTTTATTTTTAGCAGGGGGGCTGTCATAATAGTCCACTGCCCTGCTTCATTCAAGGTAAGAGGCTGGCACTTTGCAAGTTTGTAAACACCGACCTTCTGAGTAGAGTCGCAGCACTTTTCTCCGGAAAGGGAAGACTCCCCTGCTCTCTTTTGAGAGTCTGCCTGTGGGAAAACCAGCATTCTCTGGCTGGCTTAGCTGTGGCAAGCAGGTGCGGCTGTAGTTTTTCTTAAAGGGAAGAAATGCCTGAAGGCGACGACTGTGGGCCAGGCAGAAGGTAATTATGGCATTTTATTTTTCTGGAGTCTGTTTCATTGTTGTTCATCTTAAATGTATTCTGATGAGTTTAAATATGTTTAAATGAAAATTATAACTAGGAATATTTCTTTGGCAGAAGCTAACAGAAGAGAGACAAAATTATCAATGTAAGTTTAGAAATACATGTTTGTTTTTCCTTGAATACGGAAATACTAGCCTGGAACTTTAAAAATTCATCCCCTCATGTACAATGCAAGTCTTTTTGAAGTTTTTGATGTTTCATTGATTGTGGCTGAAATCTAAGCTCACTTCTTTTTCAAGCTTGCATTTTAAAGATTTGAGAGGCAGTTGTAAGAGTTGAATGTTAAGCCAATTGATCAATTTTGATACTTAAAGACTTCTTAAACTATGAATGTTGAGAATGTGATCAGCTCCCTGCCATGTGGTACATGGTTTTGAATGTTTTCTCTTGCTCTCTTACTGCTAAGAAGTGGGTACCAGGAGGACAATGATGCAGGTAGGTAGTATGTGCTGGCTTTAGGATAGCAGCACCCATGCAGTCTCCCACCCAGCCCAGACAGGTATTACAGGAATTAGCTGTATGTCCCCATTGGATTTCCAGTTGAGATCACCAAGATTTGGATATAATGAAGTAGGAAGAAAATTATGAAACAGAGAGAGATTATGGATCATCTTATTACCAAAGAAACAGAAGTCTCTAGGTACAAGAGCCCCTCAGACCATTTCTATAAACCATGGCCTAGGGTTTGCATGGTTTGTGTGGGGCTATTTCACCAGTTGTGATAGTTTACTTAAAGGTTGCATTTCTCTGATTAATTAGCTAACTTCGAGAACATTTTTAGAGACATTTAAATGTCTGTACTGGATGACAAGTTGCCCATGGATGTCATACATTCATTTTCCCAGACATCTGAACATTCCCAAAGGGAAGGCTTCTCCTTTTCTCTAACCCCTACACATTCCCACCAGCTCCCCGAGTGGAGTTTTGCACAGCTAGGCATTTTAAAGGAATGCTTGGCAAATGGAAATGTATTGATAAACCATTTTTTACACCGGGGGCCCAGGAATCCTTATTACCCGACAGTTCAAGGAGAGAAACTTGGCACAAATGGATTGAGGGTTGCTCCCACGAGAAGCGGCATTATCGAAATTATTAAATAGTAACTAATTGTTGATAAGGAATATCTTGAGCTGTTTGTGATGTGACCTGAGCAAACTTTAGCTTTTTCTCTGAAAATTTCACTAATAAAAAACAAACAAACACATGAAAAGGAGCATATGTGTGCCCACACATAAATATGTACATGATAATTATTGTTGTGAAAACCCCTCTCACTCCTGTGAGGTAACACATTACTGGCTCTCAGTTTTTATTCTGATGAGGTCACGTTCATTCCCGACACTTGGCGGATGTTATTCTTTGCTTTGTCTCCTATGCTTGGTGGTTTTTCCTTTCTCTATGTAGAAATGGTGGCAGATTGGAGCCAGCCTAGAAATAAAATATTTATAATTGGGAGAACATTTTCCTCTTGCTAAATCTGAGACTGCATGCCTTTGGATAAGTTCCTTGGTGCCATGTCTAAAAGAGAAGTAACTGTTGTAAGTCACGAATCTGCTGACAGACACGTTCTCTGAGCTTCATTGCGGCAGTTCATAATTGACTCTCACATCAGGGCTGATTATGTTACTTGAGTCTCCTTTCCGAGTTTGATGTCCTGGATTGCTCAGTAACTGCCAGAGAGTTAAATAAGAATTTGGACTTTGATAAAACAAAACCAAATAACAACAACAAAACCCCCCAGACTAGTGAAATACACAGGGTAAGGATGTCTGTCGTGGAATGGGATGTGGGCCTCAGGCATCACAGGCACCCTCTGTTAGGTGACTTACGGTCCAGTGGTTTCAGGTACCTGAAGTCGCCTGACGATGAAAGAAGAAAAACTCTTCTTGTCTTTAACACTGGGAGAATCCCAACCAATTTCAAGGCCAAGAGCCAGGGGGGAAGGGCAAGAAAACCTTTCTGAAGCAGGTTCCAGAAGGCAGATAGATATCTAAGCAAAAAGCTTTGAATGCCAAAGAAGAAGGAGGAAAACCAGGAAGGTAGACTAGCTCCAGGCACATGGGAAAGCTTATAAGGCAGCCCGAGGCCTGCTGGTTCCTTATCTCACCTCATTTGGTTCCTGCCTTGGAGTAGCAGCCAAGCTGGCCCTGGGAGGTGCCCCATAGATGGGTGAAGTGGGTGTGGGTGGATCATCCATCCCCTATTCCAGATGACGTGGAAGGAGATGGGCCTGAGGCATGAGGACGGGACCCGTCTGAACACGAAACTCACTTTGTGCTTTCAGTGTGTTTTGTCACGAAAGCACTTTAACTGGGTAATTATGTTCCCACATTTAGCTGCTCACACAGTAGAAATTTGTTGAGCTCTGACTCTTGACTAGGGGCTGAACCAGGTGATGGGTTGGTAGGTGTGGAGCCTGCTGTCTTGGAGCAAGCGGCCTGAGTGGGAGGATGGCACAGGGTGAAACACTCAGCAAGCGGAGCACTTTGGGTCATAGGGCCAAGGGTACCATTTGAAGTGGTGACGTGAGAGAGCACCTAGTGTGTGCTGAAGCTCGGGTGTCTTTGCAGGGAAGTTGTGGCAGTTCGGGACTATTGATGTTATCCTACTAGCACGGCAGTAAAGATGTACAGGTTCGTTTGCAAAGGCCACTGAGACTCTAGAATTGTGAGTTCAGTTTGTGTTTACAGATCTTTCTGTTGGTCTGTGCTGTGGAGTGGTAGGCTGCTCCATCACTTCTCTGAAATCCATGTAGCCGGTAGTCTTGGATTTCGGGGCCTACTGTCCCTTCTCTGCACTTTGGCATATTTGCATATCTGTAATTAGATATCTTGGGGATGGGATCGATGTCTAAACATGAAACCCACTTCTGTTTTATACATGCTGAACTTTAATTTCCTGGCTGGTTTTTAGTGTGCTTGCAATGCGACCATGAAGTCTGGAGTGGGGGTTTTCACTTGTGGTATCATGTCAGGCCTTCGAATTTTAGACCATCCCAGACTTGGGGCTTCAGATTCGTCTCGTCTAGCCTGTATTTGTTTCTGGGTTTTTGAAAGATTGTTATATTGAGCGAATCCAAGGCTCTTTTAAACACATAATGGACTAATTGATATGAACATGTTATTAGCCATTGCGTTTTAGTTTTGGAAGAATACAAGAAATTGATTAAAATATATTCTTCAATTTCCAGTTATAATAGTTCAGACTGGCAGGATTTTAGGGATAATTTTATATCAAATATGAGGCCTATCCATTGACAATGCTATGTCTGAAAATAGTCTAAGACCTAACACACAGATGTGACTGGTGCCTCAAAGTCAGCCTTGTGCACTTTGCCCTTCAGGTGAGGCAGATTCCTAGGAGCAATCATGTTTGAGCTTTTGTATCCTTGAATGCACCCATGCTGCCGATGGGTGGGGTAAGTGACCTCACACAGCTGGTAAGAGAAGGGGTTCTGAGCACACTGCAGACATGCGGAGGAC